GAAAAGTCATGACCTTTCCGAGAAATCACAACCCTTTGAAAAAGTCACAATTCTTTAGAAAAGTCACAACTCATCGAAAAATCACAACCCTCTAAGAAAAGTCACAACTTATCGGAAAAGTCACAACTCATATGAACAAATGTTTTTGTGTATTATCTAAAAAGTCATGACCTTTCCAAGAAATTACAACCCTTTGGAAAAGTCACAATTCATTGAAAAATCACAACCCTTTGAGAAAAGTCACAACTTATCGGAAAAATCACAACTCATCGAAAAAGTCACAACCTAAGTTAGGGATATTATAGTAATTTAACATTCAAGTTAGGAGTTCATGCTTTTAAGGTAATATAGATAGATATTTCCTTATTCTTATTGATGATTATTCAATAATTATTTGAATTTTTCTTTTGAGATTGAAAAGTGATGACTTTGTTGTGTTGCATGATTTCTGTCAACTTGTTGAACTCAATTTTGTGGTTTTATTAAAATTTTCATATTTGATATTCCCTCTGTCTCAATTTATATGACTTAACTTTCGCAAATAGCCATTATAATAAATTTAATTATGCTTCATAGCTATAGTTTGCATATTTATGAGTTGTAGCTACAATTTAAGCTATCTTGTTTGTATAATTCGCGGATTTGTATAAATTCGCAGATTTGTATAATTCCCGAGTACATTTGTATAATTCTATTATTTTTGTATAAACTCGAAATAACTAATTTGTACAATTACAAATATCTGAAGTGTAAACAGTTATACAAATTATATTATACAAATTACGAATTATACAAATTATATTATACAAATTTTGAATTGTACAAACGTGCGTATTATACAAAACTAAAAAGTTGAGCTGCGTAATTATAGCTAAAAGTAGGCCGCAAATTGTAATTAAGGTAAACTATAGCTATGTTAAGTAATTAACTATTATATGTTTGCTTATACGTGCAATTTTCCCTACTTTTTTTTGGTCAGTATCAGAAAAATGACAGATTTCTATATTAAGTAACAATTTAACTTTAAAATGTCCATTTTACCATTAATGAAATTATTTATAGTCACACAAATTTTTATCATTCATTTTAGACCACAAGTTTTAAAAGTCTTCTCTTCTTTCTTACACTCCGTATCAAGTCAAACTACCTCACATAAAATGGGACATAAGGAGTAATAGATTTGAATTTTTTTGTTTGCCTTGTCTTGCTCTCTTTGAATCCAAGGACATCGGTCATCAAAATTTTCATATAAGAGTATGGCACAAACTGAACTAGTATAGTTGACTGGGTTATTGAAAGAGCATCTAAAGTTTCTTATTGATATGTACTATGACAATAAGGAAGCACTCCAAATTGCATCTAATCCCATGTAATCCCATCTTAGAATCATGTAGACCGCTTTTTGATATTCTTTCTTTGGAGTGTGCGTAAATTGACTCATTAAAATTATCGCAAAAGTTATATCAAGTCGAATGTGTGACAAGTAGATCAACTTCTCCACTATAATTTCTGATATTGACTTTGGTCAACTGTATTCTCTTCTTTATTTTTGATGAATTTTATATTTGAATCAATAGGTGTTTCAGTTGGACAACTATCACTTATCCCTGTCTTTTTTAGTAGATCTAGTACGTACTTCCTTTGTGACACCATAATGTCTTCTTTTGATCTTGCTACTTTCATGCCAAGAAAATATTTCATTTGGCTCAAATCTTTGATCTCAAACTATGAGGCCAACTGTTTTTTTTTTAAATCTTCCAAGTCATCTCCTTTAAATATGATATTATCGACATACACTATCAGGATAGTTGTCTTGCCTTCGTGAGAGTGTCGAATGAACATGGTGCGATATGATTGCCCTTGAGTGTACCCTTATTTTTTTTATTAACTGAGTAAGCTTCCTAAACCAAGCTCTTGGAGATTGTTTGATCCCGTAAAGAGGTTTCTTTAACTTGCACACTCTAGTTCTATACCTTTCTTCAAAATCCGCAGGAGCATTCATGTAGATTTCTTCTTCAAGTTTTTCATTCAAGAATGCATTCTTCACGTCTAGTTGTGTTAGGGGCCAATCAAGATTGGCAACAATGCTCAGAAGAATCCTAATTGAATTCAACTTGGCAACAAGAGCGAATGTCTAAAGATAGTCTATCACATAGGTCTGAATGATCTCTTTTTCTACCAAATGTGCCTTATACCTCTCCAGGGACCCATATGATTTAAATTTGATGGTGAACACCCATTCACAACTCATTATTGTCTTTCCATGTGGCAGTTCCATTTTTCCCAGGTTTCATTTCTCTCAATAGCATGTATCTCCTCTAGAATTGCCTTTTTCCACTTGGGAACATTCAAAGCATCCTGCACATTTTTCGGTATCTCCATTCAAGATAATTGAGAAAGAAAAGTTATTTAGGAAGGGGACAAGTTTATATATGAAAAAAATTTGGCATGGCATGGTTTGTGACTTTTCGTACCCATTTATGTTTGGCAATTAAAAGATCAAGGTCTGAAGTAACAAGGGAAAAATCAGAACTAGATTCTAGAGAATTACCTTGTATATCAGTAAGAACTTGCAGGGTGGACATTGGTTCTGATGAGAGTCCTTAGTTTCTTTTTCTTGATTCTAATTTCTTCTTATGTAAACATGTAATTCGTTTAATTGTTACATGTCCTTGTCATTAATTGTATTATGAAAAAGCTCAGCTATCTCAGTGTTCTTATTTTCATTATTTAATTTGGGATCCCTATACCCTTATCAAGTTTGTTATTACCAAAAGAACAATTTTCCGTATCATAAAACCTGAATCATTTTATTTCTCATAGGTAAAGTCAAGAGAATCCTACTATCTATTGAATCTTCACTATGTTTCTTTCATTGAAGATTAGTTCCAAAAAATAATTGAGATTCAAAAAAGGTGACATCCATTATGACAATAATCTTTTTAGTATTGGGGTCATAACATTTGTATCCCTTTTGACTAGGGGCATAGCAAAAAAATAATATTTTTAGCACATGAATCAAGTTTACTCCCATTATGAACATGAACAAATACGCTACACTCACAGACTCTCCAAGATAGATCAGTGGTCAATCTAGAAGTAGGGAAGTATGTCTTGAACATACTGAAATGGATTTTAAAGCCTAAAATACGGGAAGACTATTAATAAAATAGGTTGATGTCAAAAGAGCTTCTCCCAAAAGAAATTTAGGGACTCCACCTATGGATATTAACAGGGGCGGAGCTATGACATGGCGAGGGTGGTCAGATGAACAACCTTCGTCGAAATTTGTTTACGGGTATATATACTAAATATCGAGTTTTTTGGATAGATACTAATTGTTGAACAACCTTGACACAATAAAGGTTGACAGCCCAGTGGTTAAGGTTGTGCAAAGATGCCTTAGCGTTCCGGGTTCGAGCCCAAGTGTTGGCGTTTTCTTTAAATTTTTTCATTTATTCCGTTTGTTCTCTTAGAAAAGGCAAAAATCAGCCTGGGTTCGATCCCAGGCTTGAACATTTCATTTATTTAATATTTGTTCCGTTTTTCTCTTAAGAAAAAGTACAAAAGTTACCTTTTTTAAGTTAAGTAAACAAAAGGTCTATTTTTGACTTTTCTTAATTTAAAAAGAATAGATTCATAGTTGTCTTTTCCTTTTAGTTTTTTGACTTCTTCTTCTCCCAAAAACCCTTTATAACTTTACTCTTTACCTATCTCTCTTCTCAACTTTCATACATATTTGCAAGTTTTAAAAAATTGGAAGCTTTAATCATTGTATATTTCTTCCTCAACCGCCATTGAAGTGTGAAAAGGTATTTCTTAATTCTTTTTTCCTTTAGTTTAGTTTTTCTAATCATGTGTTGAAAGACTTGAATATCTTAATTTTTATGTTAAAATCAACTTTATTTATTTGAGTATCGATCAACTATTTGGTGTATTGTGGGTGATTTTTAATAAGTTTGGTATACTTGAACTTGACTACTATTTCAGTTTGGTGTTCAATGAGTTTGGAGAAATATTTTTTTAGAGTACCCAAAACAAGTTTGACGCCTCAAAATCAAAATCAACTACGCCGAGATGAAAATGTCAACCAAATAGAAATATCATCTCACTCTTTCCAAAGACAAGAATTTGATGTAAATGAATTAAAGGTTGATCCGGCTGAAAGAACTAAAATTTTAAATTATCATCCAAACCTTCGTGATGAGATAAGGAGGGCATATATCATTAAAGGTCCTTGTCAACCTCAAAATCATCAGTTTCTTCAAACTGATTTTTTTGGAACACCACGTCGTTTTGTTTATACGTGGTTTGATGAATATCGTGATTGGTTGGAATACAGTATTAGTGTGGATGCTGCTTATTGTTTACCTTGTTATTTGTTTCAAGGAGAAAACATTAATCAAGGTGGTGGTAATGTATTTTCGACTAAGGGATTTACAAATTGGCATAGAAAGGATAGCTTTGCTACACATATTGGTCCATCAAATAGCGTTCATAATCAATCCAAAAGAAAGTGTGAAGATCTCATGCGAGAACAACAATCCATTCAAGCCGCATTTTACAAGTTGGATGATAAAAGTAAGCATGAATATCAGATTCGGTTAAACGCTTCAATCGATATGGTAAGACTTCTCTTGAATCAAGGTTTTGCATTC